AAATGGGTAGGCGGGGTCCCATTCCACAACCACCAACAGCGAGTCGTCCCATTTGCCTAGGAATTGGGGCAGATCCTTGATGTACCGTTTGGCATGGGCTATATTCTTAAGATCAGTGAGGAGCGATCCTTGCACACACAGAGGGACAAATCTAGCCTCGACCCAAAAGTTGGATTTCATTAGATATTCTCTTCTTTCGTCGCTTGACAGGGCCTCGATCGGGGACCATGATGTCACTTGCAAAAGTATGCCCCTGAACTGCACCATCCAATTTTTTAGTAAGAGGTGTTTGTTTTTCAAGTACAAAGCTACTACAGTTATGCACTCCACATTGTCAACTTCGATGAGAAAGTGATTATGGACCAGCTGGCGGTATGGTTTTAACAGACCGAGCCTGTCAAAGATCCATTTGACTTTCTCGTTAATCGAACGAGATAATTGTGCTGGCTGGAAGCGAAAATCCAAAGCTTTATGCAAATAGATCATATCCCATATAGCCCTGGCTTGTGCAAGGAAGGAAGAGTGCGGGTAGATGTAACCTTCTCTAACCTAGAATTTTATCTCCGGCTCCACATACAGTTGTTGTATGAAGTGGCTCTTGAGCGGGCCCATGAAATCCAGGGTGGAGGATCTGTGTGCGTCAGTCTGTGTCGGGGTCGAGAGTGATTTGAGCAATTGGGGAAGGGGGGGGGGGGGGTGGTTCAAGCATCCTGATGTGGATGGATCAGCTGGGGGCGGACCTGAGTCCGGAACTCTGTCCTTCCACATGCCCTTCGCACTAAGTACTTGCAATTTGTGTCTTGTCCTTCATCACCGAGGTTTGTGGTACTATGACTTATGTCTGTATGTTTCAATCAATAAAACTACAATGGACATGAGGTTGTCGGATGATGTCAACGGGTCACTCATCAAACGATAAGCTTCGTTGACATTGTCTGTTACCAGATGACTTTCGCTCAATGAGCAGTGAAATGTAAATATTTTTTGGTTAAATCGAGGGTAGGGAAAACAAAAATTTTGCAAATTATGTCATCAAGCCAAATTTAGTTAAGATCAACTTCGCGTCAATTTGTAGTCCCCCACTATGATGCATAAGTCGGTCTTATGCTAACTAAGTTAGAATGTATTGTTTTTTTTTTTGTGAAAGTTTTTTTTTTTCATGATAAATTTGTCTTGCCGACGTTTTTGACATATGATTGTTGTGAATATCATCTTTTTGTTGATATATATGTTTTCTTACTGCAGTTGGTTACTATATAGAATTTCAACATGTCAGTTTCCTATAAGTGACTTTTCCACTCACTAATTTTTCTCAATCTTCTACAGTTTGGTCAGTAATTCCAAGCGGAATTTTGTCTGGTTTCGCGCTTAAACGTTTACCCAGATCCCTTCCCAAGATCTTGCACACTTGAGCTCTAGTTCCAAGTTTGAATTTTGTTGCGCACATTTTTGTCAGAGAGTGATGTAACATAGTTGAAAAATACCAGATAATATGACGTTTGTTCTGTGCGTGTCGGAACCACTCGTTCAATCCTCTTAGAATAACCTTAATCTTAAAGTTATTTTCACTTTGAGGAAATTTTATATATCCAAAACATGGTTGCGACTCATAAAACCTTGGGTTTGAAGTTTTTTTATGTATTTAGTGATATTCGCGTGGGATTCAGATGCAAAGTGTTTGCTCTTCGAGCTATCTTGGTAGCTCTTTTCCTTAATTATATGTCTAAGGGGCTAGGAATACCTTGTGGTTTCACTCTTGGTTGAGACCGTCCTAGTCGACCGATGTACGCTCTGGACTTAGGAGATCAACGCCCTAAGGAATGAACGACGTCCAGGTTCAGAGGTCGTTTTAACCACGTGTACCTATACAACGACAAAAACGAGCAAACGTCCTCGGATCACCTACCTCTGTGATTGCATGTAAAAACTTTCAAGTTCGTATGTGGGTCAGTAACTTGGTAGGGATACGCCCCTAGGGGTGGTGACAACCCCTTAGGGAAGGTAAGTTGTACCTCGCAGGAACCTATCCTGTCGCAGGGGGCTGCGAGAAGTACGGCTGACGCAGGTAACAACACAACCGCACCCGTCTCGACGGTTTGCGGTATCACTTATGCATTGTCTCCAAGTTGTCATTGGGTTTTCGTTTACTCCTGCGTGACACGGCCTGGAGGGCTCTCGCCGTTGTGCGAAAAAAAGCGGGAGTCGTTGTGCTCGACAACGGGACTGGGGCAAATGCAGAAATTTGAGGCATTTCAGCGTACCCCTGTGTTTTAGGGAAATCTAACGAAAAAAAACAAACTTTTACGGGTATTTCAACAATATTTCCATTAATCTGTTCGCACAAAGAAAAAAAAAAAAAAAAAAAAAAAAAAAAAAAAAAAAAGTAGTTGCGTGCTGTCGATAAATATACCTGGGGTGAAGTCCCACCGCCCAAGTTTAAGTTTAGAAAACGTAATGTGTGACACCATTTTGACGTTAATAAATTCGAAACAAGAAATTAAAAAACTAAAAAAAATCACTAGAAACAACTTTTCTCCTTAGTTTTTATTAAGTAACTCGGAGAAATGAAACATGTCTGGCACAGTCGGAGTGAATGTCTCCGTGGAAAAGGGAACTTCCTGTGGTGAGGGGACAGGAGGTCACCATTCGTAAAATGGATAGGGACAACATGGATGGCCAGATGCATTCATTGCCCAAAGAAGGAAGAGAGTTTGATGCGAGAGAGCCAAACAGAGCTGTCAGAGCTCCTCCTTTTCATGGTGTAATGATGTCTTAAAATAAAAATAAAAATGAAAGGCAAATAAGTTGAGAAATGTACCCTACCCTCTGTAGGGTAGTTTTCTCAACGAAAAATGGTTTCCTGCCCAAAAGGAAAGGGCCAAAGCATACGACAAAACGGATTTCACGTCAACGAAAAAATGTACAAAATGACCAAATCTAATAGGTTATTCTCCTGTATTTTGGTACCCTTAGATTCTCAATACATCAACGGCAGAACTCCGTCCCACCATGCCACTCGTGATAGAAAGCTCAGCGTTGAGAAAACTCAACTTCCACGGTGGGACTTCACCCCTGGGTTTGAACCCCTCTAAAACCAGATAAGGAGAATCGCTCTAAATTAGGTGGCCTCCCTCCACTACTCTGGAGATGAAAAAAAAACAAAAATCATGGCGGTATCTTTCCATGTTCTAGCGGATTTGCACGCAGGGAGGCCAATATAGATAGATTGAGAGAAGAATATAGCTTGGTTTAAAAAACAAAAAAGTGGCAGGTGCATCTGGCCATGTTCTAGCGGGAAGTTGGTTCACATTTTGCACATTTCGAGAGTGGTGTGGTGTGGCGATGCCCTATACATAGAGTAGCGAGAGGGAAAAAAATAAAATAAAAAGAGTTAGCGAGAGGACTCCCCTGATCCAGAAGTCAGACCTAGCTCAGTTGGTAAGGCAAAGAAGTTACATTGAGGAGTTCAATCCCCATTGGTCTCACGCACGTGCTTAGACCTGTTCTACCAGCTAAAGATAACCCCCCGAACACAATGCACCCTTATTTTGGCTGTATCTGGCCGGAAATATAGCTTGTATACATTCATTTTTAGGGCGCGTTATGCTCGGGGGAAGACGATAGCATTGGCAGGACCTTGGCCAATGTTTTCGGTTGCTATGCAGCAACTATATTGGCCATTAGACACCGCTAATGTGAGGTAAGGTGCTGGGGGGGGGTTAGGGGGAGGTGCAGCCAACCATAGTGCTGGGGCCGGTTTCCCCCATAGGCAATGCCTGCCCACCCCTCATCACCGTGATTTTTTTTTTTCGCTCTCGCACCACTCGTGTGGTGCAAACCTACCTTAGGAAAGTTGGAGTTTTGTGCTTGGTTAAAGTAGGTTTGGTGATTAGTTTAGGATACTCACCTCGGCTCTCTGTTTTGATTGTTTCTTGGAGTTATGATCAGTGTGTGGCTCCTTTTGAGATAGAAGGCTAGTAACCTGGACAGTAGGGCTGGTGGAGGTATGTGGACGGTAATAGGTATGGCCTTGGGTTTTGGGGGTAGAATGTTATTACTTCTGTTTATGGGGTTGAATGATTTGGAAGCTGGATCATTTAAGGGCGTTGGCCTTTGGTCGAATCAGCCTTCGTTATACCAGGGCACTCGGTATTAAAGCAGCCACAGTAGGCAGGCAGAATAGCTACGGCTGGTAGGAGCTCACAGCTGTTTTGGGGTTGAGGTTGGAGTGTCTTTAGGGGGCGGTGGCCCCTACAGTCCGCGTTAGGACTGTAATTGTTTTCGGTTTCTTTTGTGTTGGAAGAGCAGAGAGCTCGAGCGATGTCTAGAGATACATGGTCTCAGTTTTCCCAACAAAGCATAGTCTTTGGCAGGAACTCGGATCCGTTAAACTGAAGCTGGATTCTGTCCGGTGCCAYGGTTACAACCGGGTTGTTTGTTGAGGATTCCCGGCCTCAGAGCTTTTCGCTTTGAATAAAGGGTTCTCCACTTTTTCCCGAAAAAAAAAAAAAAAAAAACCTACCTTAGCACTATGGAATGGGGAGAGAGAGATCCGGGTTGGGTTGGTTGGTGTTCCCCCGTAGACTAGCGAGAGGATGAGATAGATAAGAAAGATGAGTATATAGATAGAGATAGATTGAGAGAAGAATATAAAAAAAGTGAAATTACAAAATATATATATACATCTATATATATCGTATATATATCGTATATATATCGTATATATATATATAGAGTACATGTCCCGCAGTGTGATCGCCAGCGTGCCTAAGAGAGACGAATATAGATTAGTTTCTTTCTTTCTAAACGAAAAGGACAGAAAAACGGCAAGTGTATTTTTCCACATTTTAGCACAAAATACACTCGCAACTTTGCTGCACTATACTCCTCAATTGGGTGAGCAGTGCAGCGAGGCCCTTGGGAGTTCGAAGTGTGCCCACGTTTTGTGTGGAAGTCAACCTCTCAATGCTTGGCGCATCAGGAGGCGCCGACGGCGGCGTGTGATTGGCAGTTTCTGGAGAGGCGCCCTTCCCGCCATATCCGCCCTTCCCGCCATATCCGAGCGGGCGGCGGAGCTCGCAAAGCTTCGGCGGGAAAGCGAGAGAAGGAGCGGGAAAGCGAGAGAGAGAAAGCGGGGGGAATCAGGCGGGGAGGGGAGAGAGGGAGGGTAGAGGAGACAGAGAGAGGAGGGAGCGATGAGTTCTTCCATGAGTGCCGCGTACGCTTTGCGCGAGCTCGCGGCGACTGCGAGCTCTTCCATAGCTCTTGGCAGGGCTTCTTCTTCTTCTTCTTCCTCGTGTCCGCCATCGCCATCGCCATCACCATGCTCTCGTCGGGTGTCTTCTTCGTCTACTTGCGTTGCTTGCCAGAATGTTGATAGGTCGCTGTCTGCCACGTCATCCGTGCAAATCAGACGCTTCAATGGGCTTCAGCGGGAGTGCCACGTGGCGACATTGTCCGGCGCGCAGCAGACGGGATGGAGGGCAATCCGGCGGTCGGCGATGGCAGGCCCGAAGGTGACGGCTATGGTGGCCACAGGAACAGCGGTGGTTGAGGCAGAAGCGCTTGATACAGCGGATGCCGCCAAGCCATCAAAAAAAATTGTTCTGAATAAAGGCTGGGTCCTCCCTAGCGACAGGGTAGGTGGTTACTGTCACCACCTCTCACCTCTCTCCTCTTTTTGTTTTTTTTTTTTTCCCAAAGGGAAAAGGGAACCTCTCTCCTTTTCTGTCGTTTTCTCCCTTCTTTTTCTGTTCATTTCTGGCTTTTTCTGTGTTTTTTTTTTTTGTGTTTTTTTTTTTTCAATAATCCTTTTGTGTCCATTTTTTTCCTGTCCTTTCTATCCTTTTCTGTCCTTTCCCTTCCCAAACGAGAGAGGAGAGGGCTT